ATGCAATTCCAAACAACATAGAAGCATGTTATACGAAGCAATAAGATATAGACTCTCAAAATCATCAACTTGAAATCCAAGATATGAAATCAAGTAAAGTGGTTCATGCCACCTAGCGTCTACGTTCCAAATGGAACTAAGGAATCGTCATAGGCTACATTAGAATAACAAAACACAAATCACAATACCGATGCAATTTAACCAACATTGGAACTTCCAATACAACGCATAAAGCACGAATTCTCAAAGTTAACATCTTGTAACTTAAAATGAGAAATCAAATAAAGAACAATAAGTTACAACATCATATAGTTATCAACTTGAAATGAAATGCAAAATAAAATAAGGTGGATACTTGGACATCACGCTGGATCAAACCGACACCATAATTACTTTAGGGTTACTAGCCCATGGGTAACCGCCCTATGTGCGCACTAGACTGTAGAGGGACAATTCCCTGTACTAGAACCAAGTCCTAGCCGTAGCCAAATAACGACATCCCCAAGTTTCCAAAATCAACAAGTTATGCAACAACTTATATATCGACATGTATATACAAGATATCAACTACCTACTATGCACAACCAAATTTGGAAACACATACAATACATGTTATAAGTCCATAACTACCATGGCATGAAAGATATCAAATGCAAGGTGTACAACTCATTACACAAGACAACAATATATCCCATAAAGAAAACATGCTCTCATGAATATAACTATAACAACAATGTTATCATATACTCAAAACATAACCAAGTGAATTTACAACAAGTCCAAGTCCATGATTTGAATATAGTAACGACTTCTAAAACACAATCAGATCCATGGAGCCATTAAATAAAATTTAATTAAACAAAATAATTAAATTCTCTAAATTTCAAATCACATTCAAATAATCTCAAATTATTATATATTGAACAACATACCATGCTCATTACATATACCCAATCAAAAGAGCAAAATGAGTAAGACATCATCATGTAGAATTTAAATAATTTAAATTAATTAAATCTCTAATTTTCAAAAGTTATTCAAATGATCCCAATTTAATATATAGCAAGTAATAAGTCATGGTCATACCATATTTCAAGCCTAAAATGGAATACAAGCAAAATACAATTAACTAGAATTTAAATCAAATTAAATCCATTTAATCTCTAGATTTGAAAACTCATTTAAATCATCCCAATTTAATATACAACAAAGATCAAGTTATGGCCATGCCATATATCAAGTCTAAAATGAGTTATAAGTGTACTATGATACATCATTAATTTCTCAAATTAATATAAGACATGCATACAACTTATATCTCATACAAAAGTAAGTAAAATCACTTGAAAAATAAATTATAACACCCCTTACCTCACTAGAGAAGAGTCTCTCTAGAATCCAAGGCAAATCAACACAAAATGGTAAACCTTTCAAGGGTTATGAAGAGGAGGATGAGGAGAACAAAAAGTATTCCCAAGGTTAAGCTTGGAAATCAATGGAAGGCTTTCAAAAATCAAGGTCAAGGCCTAAGGCTTCAAGCTCCATCCATGGAGGCTAGGGTTTTCTTGTAAGGAATAAAATGAAATAATGTGGTTAAGTGTGAGTGGAGGAAATAGAAATCCTCCACTCACTATGTGCTCTTACACCATGGTCAACACACACATCTATGGTCAATTACACAAAAACCTTTCTTTAAAATCATAATACCAAAGTGGCCCAAAAATAATTGCAAGACTTAATTTGGAGCGTACACTTGTCACTCATCCAAGCATCTATTGTAGGCTTAATCACAAGCCTACACTTGTCAACCATCCAAGCCAACAAGTGCACCAATCCTAGGCCAACAAGTGGGTGAATCTCCACCCTGCACATGTCATGATCCAAGGTATCAAAGTGTCCCCACACAAATGTCAACAAGTGGACCAATGAGAGTGTGACACTTGTCACACTTTCCAGAAATTGTAAAAAGGTCCTTTTTGAAAATATCTTCCAAATAAAATTACAAAATGGTCTCTAAGACGAAAAATAATTACTTTACAGTAATTACACAAATGAGCCCAAAAGAAAAAGAAATTCCAAAGAAGTGTGCACCCACATCCCTAAGGAAGAAAATGCACAACTAGCATGCTTTTTTACAAAAGTAAAAAAACACATAGCATGGAATTTAAATATCGTGGATGCATGCAAAATCGGAATCAAATCCGAACACAAAAAGTGAGGTTGTGCCAACAAAGTGACAACCGAGAAAAAGACGAAAAGTGAATAGTGTCACAAAGTAAAAAATGTGAAAATGACTCGGTCCTCAAAGGAAGTCGTCAATCTAAGGAAAGGATTCTCGGAAACCATTCTCGAGTATTCAAGATGTCACTAAGTGATAAAAAGCCGAACTCAAAAAGGAAAAGATCAACGGAAAAAAAAAATATCCGTGAAAATCTGAGCAAAAGGAAAAGAAGAAAAATAACCGGGTCATTACAATTGAGTTCCTTTAGAATTGCTTGGCTGAGGGGCCATACCTTGATTCAAGCTTCCAAGGGTCCGTTCCAATATAAACTCAAACCTTTGAGAGATTCGGTCCACCATTTCTTCTATCTTTCGCTCTTGAGAATAAGCGGCTCTCGCTTGTTCTTGAGTGGCCTTTGATTGGTCTTGAGCAACTCTGGCTAAGTCTTGGGCGACTTTATTTGGTGTTATGCATACCTATCTTGTTGCATGACCATCACCGAGTGTGGCAGTATGTTCGGCTCGCAAAAAAGCTAGAGAGTTCCGCCTTCCACTAGGGTGGAGGGGATAGTTGGGCGTGCTAGGAACTGCTATCATTCCAAAATGGATATCCGAACAATTATCCAGTAGGAGATTGCAGGGATCAGGTAATTGTATGAAGTACTGGAATTACTACCTTCGAAGGTTCTTTTTGCCTTAAAAAATGACTTTTGGACTACTCTATGGCTAGTGGAAAGAAGTACGGTATTGAAAGTGCAGGACTTCAAAGTAAAGTACTGGAAAGTAGGAATAATAAGTGCATGACTTGAATTTAACATATTGAAGGTGCATTACATGAATATAAAGATACATGATATGTAATTGAAAGATAAGGTGCTATTTGTTATGTGTATTGAATAGGATTTGTAAACTAGCTCTAAGTGTTCTATTTATAGAGGTCTTCCATGCATGTAGCAGCTTGATGTGGTAGTTTCGGCAACTTCCACCTGGCCAGATTTCGAATTACCAAATGCCCCATGATCTTTTGGCAGTTGCAACCCCTTTCTTCTATCTACTTCCCCCTCTTTGTTTCTTCCAAGCTTATTTTCAGCCATGTCTTCCACGATTAGTAGTTGTGGGTAGTTCTTGCAATCAGTTTTCCACTTGGTCTCTTTAAAAGTTAACATATGTCCCACGTTTCCTTGCTCTCCTTCCTTTGCCGTAGATTTCTTCCTCTTTTAAGACACGATTTCTAACAACTTACTTCAATTAGTGGCAATCACCTTTTAAGGTACCACCACTTTCAACTGAAGTGTTTGGTTTAGCCAAGTGTCCCACCATTCCTAGTAGTCTTTTCCTTCTGTAGAACCTTCCCTTCATGGCATTGTGGTCCCTAAATTTCTGTAACTACTTCATCGTGGGAAATATTCCATATATACATGCATATATGTCACCCACGCCTCCTTGATTTTAGGTAACCTCCCTCAACCAAACTTTCCTTTCTGGTCTTGGAATTCATGATGCCATGGACTCCTCCATTTAAGCGATTTCCATCGTGGGTTTAATCTAACAGACAAATATATATATATATGTGTGTGTGTGTGTGTGTGTTTAGAAAAATATATAAGCACCCCCCACGTCTTGCTAAATGTTAGCAACAAAGGTTAACTTGGCTTGGACAATTTGCTGAAATTTCCTAAAAATAAGGAGAGAATTCAGCCCCCACGTTCTCCTTTCCCTAGCTTTGCGTAACTTCCTTCCATTACTTCTTTTGAAAACCATTAAGATCTTCCTAAAAGAATTGATAAGTTGTAGCAAATCCCATAGTACTTGCCATGTGTTGAAGAACAATTGGTTGGATGAACCTTGACATAGATAATTGCATGAGGGTGCATGTAGTGCAGTACTTCCATATAGGGCCCTTACTTTAAAGATGGCAAGTCCAACCCTTTTAAAGAATAAAAGACTTTATGTGGTGGATTTTGATGGGTCCACGTATTCCTTACTTTCATGTGAGATCACGAAATTTAAATACTTTGAATAAAATTCTTCCAGAGTTACGATCTGGCGTGGCAAGTTCCATTGGAACTCGCCACATGCCTCTTCTTTATTGGTAGATTGTATCCAATCTTTATTCAACAATTCCACCTCATATGTTTCTTTTTAGGACATTTAAAACACCAATCTAGTGTGGCAAACTTATTGAAACTCGTCACATGTCAGCATTTCTATTGAGCCAAAAATAATGAAGTAAACATGCAATATATTCAATTCCAATTTGAGATTATAAATTGCATTTCATTGTTGAATATTGGAAACAAAGTGCTGGTTCAGTTATAGGAAAAATATATATATAAATATTAGATTATATAGCACTGAATGGAAGCTATTGGATTGTACCTTATTAATAAATATCACTAGTATTCGATTATAACATTGAATGCATACAATTTTCACAATGAGACTACAAAAAGGTCTCCCAAGACTCACTTATTGTTCAATAAAATTTATATATACAATATTTATATATAGTTTAGCGTTCAGTCGTAATGAATCTAAAATCGTAACCAAAATCGCAACGATTATTTTTGAAACTAGAATTAGAACCGAATAGTAAAAATCTGAACTGAACTGATGGTTCGATTTAATTCGGTTTGTGTATCGAATTATCGTTCCAATGGTTTCTTCTGTATATACTATTTTTTTTTTTCCACACCTAACAACTGGGGAAAAATATTGATCTTTTAAGACATTTGGACTTTTGGCGGAAGGGGAGGTGACAAACTTGTCCACCACAGACTTTTTCCAGGAAGGAGGGCTTATAGGCACCACATGAATTGTAAATTGTTGTGGTTTTGAGTCAACCACGTGTCAATGACTTTATTTATGTAAGAGTGACTTGACTTGTTCGCAAATTCCATGTAATGAAATTAATTTACAGACTATCTGAACTCTGAAGCAACCACCGAAGTTGCATATATCAAGGCTTGAACTGCTTTGTTGACATAAAACTTTGCAGAGTTTCTGGCGTAATTTGGCCTAATGACATTTTGGCTATGTATATATGTGGGAGCATCATGAGCTGTACATTGTTGATGGAGCATTCAAAGAATGTATTTCATTAGTTGATGGAGTACTCATGAGGTAACTAGTTCTTCCAGCTTTTTTTAGCCTGCAATCTATTCAATTCCAATTTCAGATTATTGTATTGCATGGTTGAATATTTGGAACAATGTGCTGGTTCAGTTTATGAAAATGGAAATTTTATTTTATTTTATTATTTATTTATTTTTGTGTTGAAAAAAAATGTTTTTTACGAGATTTAAGAAGAATGGCTTCTAAAATTAGGAAACTTGAGTGTACTAAGACTTCTGCTATTGTTGGATCTGGCTTTCATGTAAAATTCTCTGTCAAAAAAACCTATTTATCTATCCTTTAACATGTTATTCTTCTCCATTATTCATAAATTTTTGTATCAATATATAGATATCAAACGTTTTCTCTTAATTTCAAATTGTATCGAGCTGGTGGTGTATGTGGTTTTAACTCATTATGCATCTTCTTTAGTCTTCAAATTATAATTTCTCTCCTGAAATAAATAAATCAATCAATTGCGTAAAAAAAACCCTATTATTATATTGCAGTCTTTATCAAAATAACAAAGAATAAAGATTTAAGGACTGAATTTAGTAATTATCAAATTCAATTTATTTATGTGAAGGGGGGCATGAATCCCACCATATGATGTCACCATGACGTCATGTAATGGACCGCCCCCTCACATAAATTGAATATTTGAACAGAATGGGCTTAGGCAGTGTTTAGCGGCATTGAAACTTTAGAATTGAAATTAATAGAATTGAAGAAACTTTTGGTTTAATTTTTTGAGTTTTTTTTTTTCAATTCTAATTTCAAAGTTTTAATTATATGAAGTGATTTGGACCGAATTCCAAACCTTTTCTGCCGAACAACGAATTGGCCTGTAGCTACGTGCCTGGTCTTGGAGCTATTGGGCTGTCATGTATGGGCAGAAAAGCCCGTTTCGTATATTGTTGAATCCCAATCCAAAAACAACATTTAAATGAAGGCAAACTATCTCCTTTTATTTAGCCCGTTAATTTACTAATGTTTTCTATTTGGTGGTATTGTGTGTTATACATGCATCTATATGTGCAACATTAAACCAAAATGTAAGACTATTATTTAGAAACTCTAAAACATTTCGATTTAGTGTGTTGTAACAGAAATTTTAAAAAAAAAATTGGATGATTTTTAACTATTGACACTTGGTGGTTCAATCCAATCTGGATTCTTCAATTAATAAATAAATTTGATTTATGATGATTCAGTCCAATCTCTATCTTTGGTAGTGTACGCGACCCTCTCAATAAGAGTAATATATATATCAATTTTTACAAAAGTTTGACCAAAGCAGAGACCCAATCTCTGTTAATTTTTTTTTTTTTGCTACTTACAAGTTACTAAAAAAAAAAAAATTGTAATCTAAATATAATAATATTATTACTTGAGGAATTAACAAATTCTCCTCCTTTTTATTAATTTTTTTTTCTAAGTCTGCTTAGTCTAGCTAATTCTCTCTCTTCCTTTTTTAGCCTCCCTTTCTCTCTTCCAAATTGACATCTAGAGGTTGAGTCAATGGCCCTAAAAATAAATGGGTTCCAAATGTAATTTTAACAAATTTTGTTGGTCAATACAAAATGAACATTATTTCATGGCTGGAAAGCTAGAAATTACAAAAGTCAAATTTGCCAATTTACATTTATAATGAAAAGAAATTATATATATATGAAAATATGCTATTTGTTTTCTTTTCTTTATCTCTAATTTTTTTTTTCCTAATATTGCATGAGTATAATAAATATATTAATTTATTCAAATTAGTGATTATATTCATGCTTTATGGATAAAAGAATATAAATCAATTTTTCGTTTAAATAATAAATTTTCTTATTATTTTATTACAATATTCCTATCACATTTGTGATCGAATATATATATATATATATATATATATATATATATATATATATATATATAATTTTATTTTCTGTATTGAGGTGTTTGAAACAGTTTATTCAAAGTCCTAAAGAGGACCACCTCTAGAAAAAATGGTTTCAACTTATTTGAAGCATTACCTACGTGGGCAAACAAGAACAATATTTGAGTCCTTTGACTTTTTTTTTGTTATTCCATATAAATTATCAATGAGGAAAAAGTCTCATAAATTAAATGTCAAGTGAAAATATTATTTTTTTCTTCTGCATCATCATCTTAATCTTCAATTCTTATACGGCTCGTAGCATTCTAGAATATGTTGCCATTATGTGGCAATGATTATAAACTTGGGACCAAGAAAGAGAATTTACACATGCAGTTAGTGTTTTTTTTAACTTTTATACCATTAATCTTAACCCCACCCTACAAACAAACAAAGAAAAAAAAAAAAAAAAAAAAAAACAAAGAAAAAAGGAAAAAAAAACAAAAAAAAAAAAAAAAAAAAAAAAAGAAAAAAGAAAAGAAGAAAGTGTTAAATAATTTTTTTTTTTATTTATTAAAATGTATTGAGGGATGATATAATAATTATTATTTTGGAAGTCCCTTCAAATTGAGTGAAAGTGATTCTAACATCTAGCTGGATCGAAGCACTGCAATATTAAACAACAGTCACCAAAGAAAAAACCTTTGATTTTGTTGCCCTTACCCCCTTATTATATAAACATATTGAAATTTCGGAATTTAGGGCCTGCACAAGCCTTTTCAACTGTAAAATATAAAATGCTAGCTCTATGAACAAACCTCTTCCCATTGTAAAATTTAGAGAGGGTTAAATTAATGCATGTAATTTTACCTCCTTATACTGAGAGATTATTTCCTATCTCGATTGTAATACCTAGCCTCCTAGAAATGCACTCTTTACATCATAATACAATTGGAACATTTATAGGCAAAATGTGTTAGTCCATTTAGGTTTAGTTTGATCTAAATAAAAAATTAATTAACCAATCATCGTTTTATTTTTTATGTAAATTTTAAAAAAATAATAATAATAATCATACTTTCCTTATTTTTTTAAGTTTTGTCCTTCAAAATTGTAAAAAAAAAAAACACAAGGAGATTAATTATGATGACATTTCAGACGATAAGAATCTATATAGTATATCCTCGGAAGACTAGAACTGAGATTTGATATAACTATATATACACTATATATATTCACATTCCAATTCCCAACTAGTGATGTATAGCCATTTCATACTCCTCCTCCACATATATCATGATGACTAGGGTTGAGTCCATAGACCAAGAACAGGAGCAGGTGATGACTGGTAAGTGGTTCCAATCATCCTACTTTGTGTTTGTTTCAATCATCTCTGATCTGGTCAAATCTCTATTTCCGCAATCCAATCCACAACAATTACCATCTTCACGGCCACCAACACCACTCAATTCCAACTCCAACGGTATGAAAACTCTTCCATCTTCCTCGGAAGGTTCCTCATCTGAAACATCATCTGAAACTTCATCCACCGCTCATACAGTACTTCAATCAAGCGAGTCCCAGAGGGTGAACTCCAAAATTGTCCAACTTTTTCGCGATCAAGAACTCGGAAAAACTCTACTAACGTATGTTATACCCATATCCGTAGGTGTTTTGACAGTCTATCCCAAACACTCCTTGTCCCTACCAGTACCCGCGATTGTACTGTCACTTTGCATTGGACTCACAGCACTGTGGAATGGAATATTGCTCCGAAACACCTTACCTGACCCTATTGCAAATGTCATGGAACAGTTTGGAGCTGGTTGTATATTTTTTTCTTTCTTTGCCGTGGTTAGCTCTTTGCTTCCACCAAACCTAGTTTGGGTTCCTTGGACATGCTTTGTTATCATTCTCTTACCATCTGTGCTGAGTTGTCTTCCCGTCAAAGACACATGTTGGGTTCGACTACAGAAGATATTGGGTTTTTGATCTTGGCATATATATATGGTGGCTGAGTACATATGTTCTCTTCCAGTGATTCGATTCGAAATCAAATAGCTTTGATATGGAACTGTACATCTATGCAGGAAGCTCCATCCCTAGCTCCATTATCGATCAGACCTCCCTGGAAGTTGGAAGCCTCTGATCCAGCTCACAATCAATGATAGGGAGTAGTTTTACCCTATCTCTATATAACTCCATTGATCTATATATGTGTATATATATAGTTGAAGTGTTTGTGAATAGGCTTCACTCTTTGGTTTATACACTCAATACTCCTTTTATTTGGTTGTCAGCTAGCTTTGTAAAATTAATTGTTCATGTATAAAATTCTATGTATATATGATCACCATTAATTATTAAATACTCACTTTATATGTTACGATCTTATATAAGTTTTTATGTTTTGTTTTTTGTTAAAAAAAAAAAAAAAAAAAAAACTGAAACTGAATCGGCCTTGATCTTAATGGCTTCTCCATCCCTTCCAAAGTGTTGAATCTTATCAAGAACTCAATTTGCTGTTCAATTTTCTCACACCCTGTGAAAAATTCCTAGCTTGCCAATTATCTACACAAACTTAACACATACATTTGTTAAAATGGAATTTTTTCTTATATTAAATTACAATGTATGATCATTGATAAAATAGTACGTGATTCATGAACCTTTCTTTTGATCATAAGCACCCATACAACCTTTCGTTTTTTGGTTAGGATCTTAGTATTTCTTAATTTCCTAAAGAAAATAAAATGGTCCAAATTATTTTTATATAGTAGGCAAGCATGGGTGGTATACATTAAAACCTAGTGGGAAAGCCAAGTTTGACAAGGTCCAAGGGGAATACCCAGCGTATATAGAATTAATGAAATTACCAAGTGCATAAAATCCACCAGTGAACCCACCCAAAGTCCCCACTATTAGTCCAACTTACGTCAACACAATAAGCGTGTTGGAATGGTAGTTGAAGTTTCAAGACATTTGCAAATATTCAAAAAAAAGAAAAAGAAGATATTTTTTTGTTAAAAAATAACATATTAATTACCGAAAGGTATACATGGTGCCCCTCACTATTTAAGTCAAGGGCAATGTTAGGACATACTATATTTTTTTTGTCACAAATAGAGGAAATCATTATCCCAATATTTTGGGCCAATTTGATTCAGCTTTCTGACAACATTATTTATTTATTTTTCTAAGAACCCAAATTGTACACTACAAGTTTCTGTTTAGTTGACCCTTGCTGAAAATTTAATATAAATATATTTATTTTGAAAATGATATCTTTTATTATTTAAAAACAAATTTTATTTTTGGAGTTCTTGACAAATTCTTTAAAAAAATTGAACCAAACATGTTTTTTACTCTTTAAATCTGAAAACTTAAATTATTAGAGAGGGTGTAACTTAAATATATAAATTCTTTAACACGTCGACATGTGGCCTTTTTTTAGTTCAACACGTATTTTTTAATTTTTTTAATTAAGATAAAAGTGATATTTGAACTCAAAACATTTAACTCTAATACTAATTACCCATTTACTTTAAAATTTTAAATTATTAAAAAAAAATGTAACTTAAATATATAAATTATTTTATCTTTATATGCTCATAGCATGTTCAAATTATGTTTTCATCCACCAAATTCATAGTTGACATTATTATTATTATAATTATTATTATTATAAGGGAAGACAAATTTATATTGATTTATAAGTAGTAGATACAAGGATGGCCTGAATGTGAATGCTGAGTTGGCTGATTGAAAAATAGCCTTTTATCACTATTATAGTACAGTTACTATTGCAAGTTGTTATATTCTTTGTACATCCTCTTACTTCTCGATTAAGCTTCTTATAGAGAAACAATATGACATCATAATTTTGATTATTAGAAGAAACCTTGATCTGTTATGTCACCAATTGTATATATACACACTTTTTATATTATAACCATGCGTGCCCAAGTAAATACCACTAAAAGAGTCAGGACAGATCTGTGAAGGATTCAGTGGGAGCATCCGCCTCCACTGAATTTTATTATTATTATATTTTACATCCCTAAATTTATACTTTTTTACATTTATATACACTTATAAAATTTTGAAATTGTCCCCACTGAAATTATGAAAAAACCGTTCTATATAAATTTGCTCCCCCTTCTATGAATTCCTAAATCCGTCCCTGAAAAGAGTGTTAAATTAATATTCGTAAGAGCTAAGTGCAAAAAAAAAAATTCTTGTAATATAAGTTTTGTACACAAATAGTCTATTCTTTTTAAAAATGTGCATTTCAATTCATAAAATTAAAAAAATGTGCAAATAAGCTCCTTTAACCACTTTTTGACAAAAAGGAAATATAAAAACCCCACTTTACCCTTTTTATTCCTATTTTACCCCTAACATAATGAAGCCCCCACCCCATTTCCTATTCCTGACCTCTCTCTCTCCCCTTCTGCATAAAACCCTAACAAATGTATAACCAAAATCATCACCGCTGCCGTCGTCGCCGTGTGACGATCTTTGCTCCTACAAGGTTAACCTCCTCTTCTTCCTCATAACTTTCGCCACTCTCTTCAACACTGCCACCTCTAAGTCAAACTCGGACCGAGTAGCCGAATTTCTCGACCTCTAATCTCGATTTGAATCGTGGGTATCATCCACCTCAACTAAATCAGATTGAACTCCTCTATTAACGAAGAGCAACCACAACCTCAGTTCCTCGTCGTCCCCGCCTTGGAACGTCACGACAAATTTCATGGGTTGAGTATATGATCTTGAGGAGAGAGGGAGAGACAGAGAGGAGACTTCTCGTTCTTCCTATTTTTTTCCTTTTTTTTTTTTTTTTTTTCTTTGGGTGTGGTGGGGCGGGGAGGGGCGGGTTTTGTAAAAGTATTTTCGTCATTGTATACAAATCTAATGAAAATAAATAATGAAACAAAATTTCAACTATGGTAATTAATTATTATTATTATTATTTTCTCTTATGAAGATAAAAACAAGTTTCAACTTCTCAATTTGAACTTGAGACTTAATTTTATTGTAGGAACACTAAAATAATATATAAAAGTTCTTAAATAACAATAATACAAAAAGATATTTTTTTCGGTAAGTAATACAAAAAGATATTTAGTGATTGCAATAGAATATATATATTAGAATTTTCTTAATATATACCTAATATTATTGAATATAAAATAAAGTGTAAGAATAAAATTATAATTTATCATTGTAAACGGGACAAGGCAGGGTGGGGTAACCTTTCCCCATCCCTGCCCCATAACCATGCGGGTTTTTAATCCTAACCCCCATTCCCACCCCAAAACCATTTATCCAAAACCATTTATCTCTCCCCTCAATAACCATTGTAAATGGGCAGGGTGGGGGTTGGTGCCCGATGGGGCCATCCTTACCTGCAAACGAAGGTGGCTCAATAGAAAATTATGTCTAAACTTTGCTTATCCCCCTCCCCTAACAACACACACACACACATATAATAAAAAAAATGAAATTATAAAAAATATTTGTTATTAATCCATCCCAAATATTTGATAAAACCAATAATATCTTCTTTGAAATATTGAGGTTGAGAAAAAAGCCATACTTAAAATCAATTCAGGCATCTTAAATGGTAGATGGGGTCTTTACATAAGTTACTTAGCACACCTAACTTCTTCTTCCATCTTAAAGCTGCTAGAGTGGAAACTCTGGCAGGAGGATACTAAAAGTTCATTTGGAACATTTTTGTTAGTCTGATAGGCCTATAAGTGGCTTTTATATTACGATGTCGATGAATAATCTTCTATTAGAAATGATTTTTTAAAATAAAGTATAAGATAACCTGAATTGGAACATTTCTAGTTGGGGGTAGATTGATATATTAATGTAGAGAGTGAGAAACATAGAAGAAATGGAATATGATAGTACATGTTGTTGGGAGATGGCACAGGATAGGGTGGACAAACAATTGTAATACTGATTGGATAAAGGAATTATAATGTGGGAACTATTGTATAAGTAAAACAATAAGGAGATTTGAAGGGTGGACAAACAATTGTAATACTAATTGGATAAAGGAATTATAATGTGGGAACTATTGTATAAGTAAAACAATAAGGCGATTTGAAATTTCAAATCTATTGTTTGTTTTATAGTTTGATACTTGATAGCTTATTATTTGTTAGCCAACATGATTTGAAAGTGCTAAATTATACTTAAGGTTTATAAGAAATTTGTTTTTTGACAAATTTTTATGGCCATACTTCTAGCAACCGAGGGAACTTGTTATAGAAAGTGTGTTTAGAGATCATGGACAAAATTTATAGGTAAAGTACAGTAACATCCCTGAGGTTTGTCAAAAAGATATACAGATACAACTTACCTTATTTTGAAAAAAAAAACACCCCTTGTAGGAAATTCCAACTAAACAGGTCCCTAAATCTTATGAAAAGATGAAATTACTCCTTAATATTAAAATCAGATTTATTATAAAATATCATATATATATATATATATATATATACAGTAAAAAGACGCAATTGCATTTATTTCAGCCACAAATTAGAGATTCCGACACCGGTGTGTAAAGCTCCCGCGGATGCGCGTCTGAAGATCTGAAAACTGTCGCCAACTCTGCTGCAACCACCATCGCCGCCTCTACTGCTACACAACCCATTTCCCTCTCCTCCACAACCCATTCACAACCCCTTTCTCTTTCCTCTCTCTGTTATCTCTTTTCCTCCTCTTGCCGCTCCAACACCACCCACCATCGCCACCACCACTGCCCACCTCTTCTCTCTATCTCTCTCCACGATTCCACCCCCTACCACTTACCATCGCTAAAATGGAAGATAAAATCACCGCCGCCCATCAACATCATCATCAATATCATCCAACAATGACTTTCGGCGACGATGGAGGCAAGACACAACTCAATTCTGATGACAATTTGGTAGTTAGTGTTGACTTACGTTCCGTCGTAATGGGTGTTATTACTGCTATTTTTCTAATTGGGAAAGAGAGATCGATCGGATATCTATTTTAACATGAGTTGCTCATAACTTTGCTCAGATTCACCACCAAAGTTGGATGAATCGGTACCAGTAAGCGTTTCAACTGAATCGGTGTGATTGGCTAAGGTAGACGGGAGAAGTAGCAGAAAAAGAGGGAGTCCACACACGCGTCCAAGTTCTTTCACGGTGCTTAAGGAAACTCTGTGCCATGGGTGGTGCTATTCTGATGATGATGATGGATATTGTTGACACGAAACTATGACAGAAGCGTCAGGGTTCCACTACAAGCCCTTCGACTCGAGAGATGGGATCATGACAATACACATGTCCATCTCACAGCAATTATGTTCAAAGGATGGCTTCTGGCGTCA